TCTCAGAATCTCAGAATCTCAGAATCTCAGAATCTCAGAATCTCAGAATCTCAGAATCTCAGAATCTCAGAATCCTAGAAATTGCGGAAATTCAGATTTTCAGAGTACCAGAATTTCAGAGATTTAGAAATTCAGAAATTCAGAAATTTCTAAATTCAACATTGTGAATCATTTAGGATTGTCGTAAATAAGATTCTGCAGCCTTCAGAACCTGGAAGAGATCTTTCGGAAAGAAACCAAAAATGCGCGCGAATTGTCGGCAAGTTGCGCGCATCATCTGCAAAGACAAAAAGTTCCGGGTATCAAGCGGGTACGGGTACGGGCGGGTACGGGCGGGTATATCGCTACCCGCATGGAAACCCTACTAGAAACTGTGCAGTATATAAAAACATATTTTCCAGCTGATTTCTAGCCATTTTCACAATTTTCAGAGGTCTGGAGCTTGCTCATTAGGTTTCCAATCATTTCGATAATTTTGAAGGATGTAAAAAAGACCTAGATGGAAAACTTTGCATTCGCAGAATTTCTTGAAAGCGCCTAGTTTGCCGATTTCTGAAAGAAACCATTTTTTGGCCTTTTTTGTGTTGAAAACCTGAAAAAATCGGTGTAGAATACAATTATTCTAAATGACCGGTACTGTCATTAATAATCTGAAAATCCATTTCAAGCCGTGCAATTCTGTCAAAAAACCAACTTCCTAGCTTATCTAGAACCGGAGATACGGTCATTTGAAGTTTCCGAGGTTAGAGACGCAGCGTGTCTCGTCGTCTGCGTCTCTAGCCTCCTAAACTTGGAATGACTTTATCTCGGCCCCTAGAAGCGCTAGAAACGTGATTTTTAGACAGAATTCTAGGAAATTTTGTCTTTTTATAATTAGAAAGTTTTTCACCCTCCAAAGTTTTCAAAGTGATCGGGAACTTGACAGCCGAGCTACCGACTACTAAAAATAGTCCAAATGACTGAAAATAAACTGAAAAATACGTTTTTGCATATCTTATGGACCGGTACTGTACTTTCTGCTATTTATCTTTTGAGACGATTCAGTCAAGTTCCAGATGCATTGGTCGCCAGAAAATTAATAATACAGTTTTTTTTCTCGCTGATGAGTAACCTAGAGGTTTCCTTCTCTAATTTCCTGTCTATCGTTAGTGTCCAAAAAAGTGGGCGGAGCTTAATTTTTCTTTTTTTTTGAGTCTCTAGACAGCCAGTTGAACTTTACAAAAAATTTTCGGTTCACTGATTTTGAGAGCAAAAAACCTAGGATTTTTGAACTTGCGGACATTCGGACGCATGGACAAACAGACCAATAATTTTTGACCACGTTTTTCTCCCCCTCAAATCTGTCTGTGTGCCTTTTTTGCCTCCGGCTGTTCTTATAAATTGCTCATCCTTATTTTTTTCTATTTTTCCCTTTTTTTTTCTTCTCATTTTTCAAAAAAAAAAAAATAAGAAGAAGAAGAAGAAGTGTGAAAAATGAGACAATCTTTCAGAAAAATGTGTCTTCTGCAAACTTTTTCTTTTTTTTATTCACAATTTTTTTTGTTTGCATTAGATTTTTTTCTGAATGAAAAAAATCATTTTGTTTCTTTTTGAAATTGGAAAATGTGTCGTTCGCACTTTTATTCAGATAGTTTTGACATTCTTCTGAAACTTGGAAACTATTGGAAATTTCCAGTTTTTGAACCGGAAGTTTAGAAAATTCCAAACTAATTTTAAACATTTTTTCATATTTTCAAATTCTGAAAACCTAAAATTTCAGAATTTCGTGGGATTTTGAAGTCTGAATTCCCGATGTTCTGAGTTTTCGAGATTCCAGAAAATGTATAAATTCGGAAATTCTATTTTTTTTTCAAATTAGCAGTTTCAGCATTTTCAGGGATTTTTCAATTTTGCGAATTTTTAAAAGTTTCGAAATTGATTTTTATTATTGCCAAGATTCTGAAAACCCTGAAACTTTAGGAAACCTTAAATTTCAGGAATTCCGAATTTCTGAAATTCTGAAATTCTGAAATTCTGAAATTCTGAAATTCTGAAATTCTGAAATTCTGAAATTCTGAAATTCTGAAATTCTGAAATTCTGAAATTCTGAAATTCTGAAATTCTGAAATCCTGAAATTCTGAAATTCTGAAATTCTGAAATTCTGAAATTCTGAAATTCTTAAATTCTGATATTCTGATATTCTGAAATTCTGAGATTCTGAGATTCTGAGATTCTGAAATTCTGAAATTCTGAAATTCTGAAATTCTGAGATTCTGAGATTCTGAAATTCTGAAATTCTGAAATTCTGAAATTGAAAAATTGAAAAATTTGGAAATTTCAAAATGTTGAATATTTAGGAAATGCTGAATTTCGGATTTTCATTTTTTCGAATATCAGGAAATTCAAAAATACAAAAAATTGAAAAGTTCAGAAAATTAGAAAATCTGAAAATCTGAAACTCCAGTAAATTCAAAAATTCTCATTTTCTGATTTTCTGATTTTTCGGAATTTCATAAAACTCTGAACCCATCGAACTTCCCCAATTTTTCCAGTTCAAAAGTTTCACCATTTCACACACGTACACAATTTTCCTCTCCCTATCTCTTCAAATCTGATAACATAACCAGCCAGGTGATAATGTTATTAGAATGTGTGTTTCACTCTGAAAATCTTTCAGAGTTTGATACGATAATCCGCCAGATATATAAGCAAATCTAATCTTCAGCCTCGCGCTCATTTTTCTTCTTTTCCCCATCTATTTTTTGCTGAAAAGTCCCTCTAAATTTCGCAAAAAAAACGCAAAAATATCTGCACGAAGTGGGATTCGAACCCACGCACCCATACGAGTACCAGAACACCCAGTAAGACCTCGAACTTGAGGCAAGCTGTCGCTTGAGTCTGGCGCCTTAGACCACTCGGCCATCCGTGCACACCGAGGAGAGTAGCAGGTTGTCGTAATGAACGGGTGGGGGGAGGCGACCGGCGAGAGAGAGAGATAGGGAAGGTGAGTGTAAATTTATTGTGAGTAATTTTTTTGCGAAATTTTGAAGTGGCTTAAAATTGGCCAAAAAGTCTACAAGCCCCTTCTATACTCAATTTTTCACATTCTCCCCGAATTTCACACTTGTTTTGACCCTTTTTTCTTTGATCTCTTGAGTTTTCCCCCTACTTTCTCATCTGTACTTTGAATCTTTTAATTTCCCGCCTTTCTTTTTTCTATTCTAATCAACAAAAATGAATGACCTGAAAAGGGAAATGAGAAAATGAGGAAATGAAGAAAAACCACCACCCACCAACCCACGCGGTGATCAGGAAAATGACGAGTTTCAGAAAATGGGCGGAGCCTAATAAGAAGTGGGCGGAGCCTATTTTTTGGGTGTCTTCTAATTTTTTACACCTTTTAGGGCACTTTTTTCATCTCTTCATAGTCTATTAACAACCCAAAATTCCACACTTTCGAAAGTTAATTTTTGCAGTTCTACAGTAACCCAAAAGACTACAAACTACAAAACGATGAGCGTCACTCGTCTTGGCGAGGAAATGAACAAGAAAATCTCAATTTCGGATGGCAATGCCAAGAATCCGAAGAAGAATAGTACTGCCAGTGGGCATGTGGCAAAAGTTGGCGATGTTTTGGGAGGTGAGGGTACTGTAGGGATACTTTAGGTAACTAGATAGGGTTACTGTAGTTGAATGTACAGTTACGATAGGTAGAGGTTACTGTAGTAAAAGTTGAAGTTATGGTAGTTAGGGATTACCTACTGTTTTCCTCTAATAGCAGCCCACACAAACAGTCAAATTCGAGCTCAATTAAGTCGGTTTTTATGAGAGATATCAAAAAATTGTTAACTGATAAAATATTTATCATGACCTGAGAAATATTTTATCAGTTGACAAATTGTTGATATCTTTTGCAGGAATCGAGATAATTGAGCTCAAAATGGACAGTCAGTCACTGTAGCTATAGGGCTACTGTAAGTAAAACCAAGGTTACTGTAGTAATACCGTTACTGTAGACAATGTGAAGATTACTGTAGCATTAGGCTTACTGTAGCAATAGCCTAACTGTAGCTAAGGGTTACTGTAATTAAAGTTGAAGTATTGTAGTTAGGGCTTACCTACCGTATAACCTCTGAAGGCAGCTCACTCAAACCGTCCACTTTGAGTTCAATTATCTCGGTTCCCGTAAGAGATATCAAAAAGATGTCAACTGATAAAATATTTATCATAATATCACCAATATTTTATTATTTGACAATAGTTTGATATCTCTCATGGGAACTGAGATAATTGAGCTCAAAGTTAATGGTCAGGGTGGGCTTCTATTAGAATTCTGTAGGGGTAGGATTACTGTAACTAGGCTAGGCTACTACCTAACTATAGTAATTCTAAAATTCTTCCAGACGAGACCCCACCACGCAAGAAGAGCTCCTTGAAGGAAAATATCGCCGCCGCGTTCCGCTCTCCAGTGTATCTCATTCGTCGTGAGGCTTCCAAGTGAGTTTTGGGGTTTTTGGTGGCCTAGAAATCCAGAATTCTAGGCAACTATCCATTCAGTTGGCCTAAAAACCGAAGCTGGATATAAGCTGGGTTTTTAGGCCACCGTACCTGGATGTCCACGTTTTGGAGTAGCTGGCCTAGAAATCCCCGTTTCTGGGATTCTAGGCCACAGTATTCCTGTGGGCTAGAAAACCAGATGAGTGAACTAAAGCTGCTTTTCTAGGTCATAGGGTTTGGGGTTTGGAGACCTAGAAACCCGAAAACTTGGATTCCTAGGCCAGCTCCTTTTTTCTTAAAGTGTCCTATGTCTGTCTGTGTGTCCCGATGTCCAAAATTTCAACATTTTTGCAGAGCCCGCTGGGAGCAAGTCCGCGAACGTCTCAAGTTGTCCCGAGTCAAAATTTCCATGCGTGATCGCAAACGGAAGGCATCGAAATCCAGTTAGTTTCACTTTTTTTGGGTTTTTGGTTCTGTACATTGGCTGAAATTTTGGCTGAAAATTATGCGAAAAAGATGATATGAAAACTGGTTTAAATTATGGCGGATTATAGAAAAAAAAACATTCTCAGAAAATGTAATTCGATGGGGATGGGGATTAATGGAATGGATTTTTTGGCTGAAAAAAGGCAGAAAATAGAAAATCTTGAATAGAAAAATGTCGGTTTTTTTTTGGGATTAATTTTTATATGTATAGAAATATGGACAGGTTTTAAATGGCAGTTGACATTTTGGGAGTACAAAGAAAGAGATTTGGACGTTTTTCTGAAGATTTTGGCATTTTTTGGTAAATTTTTTGGATTTTGGGGTGAAACGGGGTCTAAAAGGTCTAAAAATGATTGTTTGTGAACAATAATTTTAGAAATTTCTATTTTTTTCTCAACTTTTGAAGAATTTTTTGACTTCCGAATTTATAGAATTCTGAAAACCTGAAACTCTGAAATTATGAAATTCTGAAATTATGAAAATCTGAAACTCTGAGATTTTGAGATTCTCATATTCTGAGATTCTGAGATTCTGAGATTCTAAGATTCTGAGATTCTGAGATTCTGAGATTCTCATATTCTGAGATTCTGAAATTCTGAGATTCTGAGATTTTGAGATTCTGAGATTCTGAGATTCTGAGATTCTGAGATTCTGAGATTCTGAGATTTTGAATTCTGAGATTCTGAGATTCTGAGATCCTGGGATTTTGAGATTCTGAGATTCTGAGATTTTGAGATTCTGAGATTCTGAAATTCTGAGATTCTGAGATTCTCATATTCTGAGATTCTGAGATTCTGAGATTCTGAAATTCTGAAATTCTGAGATTCTGAGATTTTGAGATTCTGAAATTTCTGAGATTCCGAAATTTTGAAAAGTCTGAAATTTTGAAAATTGTCGGCTCTAGAATTATGAGACTCAGAAATTCAGAAATTCTGAAGTTCTAAAAATCTAGAATTCTGAAATACGGAAGATCATAATTCCAGAAATTCGAAAAATCTGAAAATTGAAATTTCTGAGATTAGAGTGTTCTAAAATTTTGTGATTCCGAGATTCTGTCTGAAATTCTAGAAAAACTTAGTTTTCGAAATTTCGAAATGCTCGATATTTTAAAATTTCCAGAACTTCAAAAAATGTCCCTCACTTCCAGAACATATCTTCCCATTTTTTTGGACCTTTTCTCAAAAAAAAAGAGAATGAACTAATGAAATTACCTCTTTCCTCTCTCATTTTCCCCAAAAAAAACTACTCACGTCACACTGAAAAAGAGTAGATCAAAACGAAAATTGACTCATTTTTCATCTTATTTTTTTATTGGTTTTCTGTCTGGAGCCGGGAACAAAACGGCAATTAGTTCCGGTAAAACGAGTACCATTTTTCTAGAAAATTCACATAAAAATGGCCGAGGAAATTGGTTTTGAAATGGAGAGAGACGGCGAAACCGCTTAATTAATTTTCGCCTCTCTCTTTTTCTCTGCGTCTCTTACTCTCTCGTTTAATGGCATTTAAAGATGAGCTAGTTGTTTTTCTAGAATGTTTATAGTTCTATTTTGATATTTTGAGAATTTCTGAATTACTGAATTTCTGAATTTCTGAATTTATTAATTTATGAATTTATGAATTTCTGAATTTCTGAATTTCTGAATTTCTGAATTACTGAAATTCTAAAATTCCACAATTCAAAAACTCTAGTATTCGGAAATAGACAAATGCTTGAATTCTGAAATTCTGAGATTCTGAGATTCTGAATTTCTGAATTTCTGAATTTCTGAACTTCTGAATTTTCGAATTTCTGAATTTCTGAATTACTGAAATTCTAAAATTCCACAATTCAAAAACTCTAGTATTCGGAAATAGACAAATGCTTGAATTCTGAAATTCTGAGATTCTGAATTTCTGAATTTCTGAATTTCTGAATTTCTGAATTTTCGAATTTCTGAACTTCTGAATTACTGAAATTCTAAAATTCCACAATTCAAAAACTCTAGTATTCGGAAATAGACAAATGCTTGAATTCTGAAATTCTGAGATTCTGAATTTCTGAATTTCTGAATTACTGAAATTTTAAAATTCCACAATTCAAAAACTCTAGTATTCGGAAATAGACAAATGCTTGAATTCTGAAATTCTGAGATTCTGAATTTCTGAATTTCTGAATTTCTGAATTTCTGAATTTCTGAATTTCTGAATTTCTGAATTTCTGAATTTCTGAATTTCTGAATTTCTGAACTTCTGAATTTCGGAATTTCTGAATTACTGAAATTCTAAAATTCCACAATTCAAAAACTCTAGTATTCGGAAATAGACAAATGCTTGAATTCTGAAATTCTGAGATTCTGAATTTCTGAATTTCTGAATTTCTGAATTTCTGAATTTTCGAATTTCTGAATTTCTGAATTTCTGAAATTCTGAATTTCTGAATTTATGAATTTCTGAATTTATGAATTTCTGAATTTCTGAATTTATTAATTTATGAATTTATGAATTTCTGAATTTCTGAATTTCTGAATTTCTGAATTACTGAATTTCTGAATTTCTGAAATTCTGAAATTCTGAAATTCTGAAATTCTGAAAAGTTGTCAATTACAAAACTGAAGCTCTCATTTAGTTTGGTGTAATCTGAAAGTTTCGAACAAATTCAAAAATTCTGAATTACATCTTTAGGATTCTAAAGTTGACTATTTTCCAATGGAAATGTCGAAAAATGAAATGCTCTGTGTGGTATCGTAGTTTCACCATAATCCGCAATCTACAGTAATCTGAAAACTTCAAAGTTTGAAAATCCCGAGAGTAGAGCCTGGAAAAAGCCATCAATCTCTCTCTTTTACCTGAAATAAGAAGGATCTCTGACCCCAATTACATTCCATTCCAATGGAATGACATGGCACGGGTCAGCTGTTATTTGGGCTTCAAGATTTTTTCGAAAAGTTTAAATTATGTTTTTCCAGATTTTTCCTTTTCCTTTTTTTTTCTTTGAAAGGAAATTTCATAGTTTTGAGATTCTTAAAAATTTGGAATTTTGGTTTCCAACTACAATTTTCGATGTACATTTTTCAATAAAAACCTTCTCACAAATGATCTGAAAATCCATTTCAAACCCTACAATTCTGTCCGAAAACCAACTTCCTAGCTCATCTAAAACTTGAGATACGGTCATTTGAAGTTTCCGAGGTAAGAGACGCAGCGTGTCTCGTCGTCTGCGTCTCTAGCCTCCTGAACTTGGAGCGGCTCTATCTCGGCTAATAGACGCCCTAGAAACGTAATTTTTAGACAATTGTAGGAAATTTTGTTTTTCATAGTTAAAAAGAGTTTTTTTCAAAATGACTCTTTCAAAATTTACAAAAGTTGTCAAAATAATCAAAAATCAACTGAAAAATATGGTTTTGTATACCTTATTGACCAATACTGTACTTTCTGAGATTCCAAATTTCAAAGATTCCGAGACCCTGGCTGTCATCCAGTCATCATATGTTTTCTCTTCTCTTCCAATTCCCCACGTGCATCTCTTATTTTATTTTTCTTCACCGAACAAAAGTATATCATTGCTCCTCCTATGTTTTTCATGGAAGAAGAGAAAGAGAAGAAAGCAAAACTAAAGGAATGGGTGATGGATGATGATCGAAAATGATCATAAAAATGTCAAGTGGTTGGAAAAAATGGAGCACACACAGCTGGGGTGGGAAGCCCACCCCAGCTTTGAGTTATCTGATTTTTCTTTGTTCCTTTTTTTGTTGGTTTTTTATTGAATCGGGTATTTTGATGTTTTTCTCCAGAAATTCGGAAATTCATAAATTTTGAGAATTCACGAACTTTGAGATTCTAAAAATCTACAGCCAAAACCTCAGAGATTCAGAATATCAGAATTCAAGAATTTCAGAATCTCAGAATCTCAGAATCTCAGAATTCCAGAATCTCAGAATATTAGAACCTCAGAATCTCAGAATTTGAGAATTTTAGAAATTCAGAAATTCAGAAATTCAGAAATTCAGAAATTCAGAAATTCAGAAATTCAGAAATTCAGAAATTCAGAAATTCAGAAGTTCAGAAATTCAGAAATTCAGAAATTCAGAAATTCAGAAATTCAGAAATTCAGAAATTCAGAAATTCAGAAATTCAGAAATTCAGAAATTCAGAAATTCAGAAATTCAGAAATTCAGAAATTCAGAAATTCAGAAATTCAGAAATTCAGAAATTCAGAAATTCAGAAATTCAGAAATTCAGAATCTCGGAATCTCAGAATCTCAGAATCTCAGAATCTCAGAATCTCAGAATCTCAGAATCTCAGCATCTTAGAATCTCAAAATCACAGAATCTCAGAATCTTCAGAATCTCAGAATCTCAGAATCTCAGAATCTCAGAATCTCAGAAATCCAGAAATGCAGAAATTCATATGCAGAAATTCGTATGTTGAATTCTGAAATTCTCAGGATCTTCCAGAAAAAAAATTAAAACCATTTTTTTGTTTCTCCGGCTCTTCTCGAAGAACACACGTCACAGCTCAACCCATGGCCCGGCGGGTCCCTGTGACTGGTCGTATCTCTTTTCTCTCTCTCTCCTCTCTCTCATTTTATGTATGTTTTCGATCAACAAAAACGATTCTTCTCAATTTCTTGGATTTTTTTGGGTCAAATTTTCAATTTTTTGAGCCTTAATGAAAAAAATCCGTAATTTACAACCCCCATTGTATAGAAATGGGGGCGGTGTTAAGGACCAAAAAGGGGCGGAGCTTAAGATGTTGTCTTAAAATATAAAGTGAACATTTTTGGCTTCGTGGCTGATTATGAAACCCTATTTTGGAAATTTTCAGAATTTATTTTTTAAGTTTTTAAAGATTTTTTTCCAAAAATTCCGGTTCATCACGAAGGACCTCCTAGTGATCTTTACTCGGTATTTTCTTTTTCGGCAAAAAGAGTCCCATGTCCATGACCATTTGGAAAAATCCCAAGTGACCCTGAAAAATAAAATTTTGGCACATATTTTTTTTTGAAAACAAAACTTCCTTTTTCACGGAATATAACAGAAAGAACCTCCAGGGAGTCGATTTTTCGGATTTTTGAGATTTTTGGATTTTTTGAATTTCGAATTTTTGAATTTTGGAATTCTAAAGTTTAAAATTCTGAATTGAAGTTCCACTGTTCGGAGATTTTGAGATTCTAAAGGAATCTAATTTTTTAAAATTCTAAGATTCTTATATTCTGGGATTCTGAGATTCTGAAATTCTGAAATTCTGACATTCTGACATTCTGAGATCCTGAGATTCTGAAATTCTGAGATTCTGACATTCTGAGATCCTGAGATTCTAAGATTCTGAGATTCTGAGATTCTGAGATTCTGGGATTATGAGATTCTGAGATTCTGAAATTCTGAGATTCTGACATTCTGAGATTCTGAAATTCTGAGATTCTGGCATTCTGAGATCCTGAGATTCTAAGATTCTGAGATTCTGAGATTCTGAGATTCTGAGATTCTGAAATTCTGAGATTCTGACATTCTGAGATCCTGAGATTCTAAGATTCTGAGATTCTGAGATTCTGAGATTCTGGGATTATGAGATTCTGAGATTCTGAAATTCTGAGATTCTGACATTCTGAGATCCTGAGGTTCTAAGATTCTGAGATTCTGAGATTCTGAGATTCTGAGATTCTGAAATTCTGACATTCTGACATTCTGAGATCCTGAGATTCTGAGATTCTGAGATTCTGAGATTCTGAGATTCTGAGATTCTGAAGTTCTGGAATTCTAATATTCTGAAATTTCTACTTTTCGTATTTTGACTCCAAGATCAGAATATCAAATTTTTAATTTTCCTTTTTTTTCTTCTTCTTATTTTTCCAAAATGCCATATGCCAAAATTGAAAAAAAAATGAAGAAAAAAAGTGGGTTGGTTGTTTCAAAGTAGAGAAGCAGCAGTAGCAACTCTATCAAAATGTCACGTATAGAATAAAAATTCAATTCTTCTCCTTCTTTTCCTTCTTCTTCTTCTTCCTCTTACCCGGAAAAAAAGAGATGAGGTCAACATTTTTTTTGTGCACATCTATGTCTATTTTCTAGTAAAAAATAATTTTAAATACATTTTTTCCTAGAAAAGGGTCTTTTCCGTGTCTTCTAAAACTAGGCTCTTCCTCTTCTCCATATCTCAGAAAAGTAAAATTTTAAAAATTGACTGCTTAGTCTTAAAAGAAGCAAAACCATTTCATGGTTTGTCTTTTTGTTAAGTTTTTGAACTATACAACTTTTTCTTCTTTTTCTTCCTCTTCTCCTTATCCCGAAAAAGTAAAATTTTGAGACATAAACTTTTTATCCTCATAAGAAGAAAGTCCATGGAACGTCTATTTTTCTGAACATCTCAATTCAAAATTTATTTTTTTTTCTTCTTCCTCTTCTCCATATCCCAAAATTCAAATTTTCGAAAATTGGAGTTTTATCTTTAAAAGAAGAAAGACCATGTCCTGGTACGTCATTTTTTTCATATTTTCTAACTATCGAAATCCTTTTCCTTCTTTTTCTTCCTCTTCTTCTTTTCCCAAAAATCTCAAAATTTTGAAAACTGATTTTCAAGCTTAAAAGAAGAAAGTCCATGTTTTAAAACTTTTATTTTTCAAGCTTTTCAAATCAAAGTAGCTTTTTCTTTTTCTTCTTCCTCTTCTCCTTATCCCAAAAAAGTAAAATTTTGAAAAATAAGCTTTTTATCCTCAAAAGAAGAAAAACCGTAGCCTGATTCGTCTATTTTTTTTATCTCAAATTCTAAGAGGTGAATTCTTCTTCTTCTTCCTCTTTTTCTTATCCCAAAATGTAAATTTTTTTTAAATGAACTTTTCATCCTTAAAAGAAGAAACACCATATTCTGGTAAGCCTAGTTCTCAAATTTTTGGATTCAAAATGTCTTTTACTTCTTTTTCTTCCTCTTCTTCTTCTTATCTACTCTTCCCCCGAAAACCCATTATTCAAAAAATTCTTCCTTCTCCGACCCCAATAAAAAGTACAAATCTATAAAATGTGCAAAAATAAGTGCCATCAAAAATTCCACTTCCAAACAGCAGATGTAGGTTGAAAAAAGTAAAATCGGAGAAGAGCAAAAAAGAGAATTGCCTGCTCCAGATTTCGAAAAAGAAGAAGAAAAATAAGAAGGAACATAAAGTGAACATGTGGCGCGTGTTTCTTCTTCTTCCGCCTCTTCATCTTCTTGTTATCAAAACGAAGTTAGAGGGTCTTCTTCTTTTTCTTCTTCTTCTTCTCCATACTCCCGGGAGAAGAAGAAGAAGAGGAATAAGAAGAAAAATACGAATATTTTCTTCTCGTTCTCTGCAACAACGTGGATTCTATAGATCTCTTTGCCTATCTGCGTCTCCAAATCTCTCTTCTTCTAAGATCATTAATTAGTTTCGGGGAAGAAGAAGAAGAAGAAGAAGGAAAATAGAAAAAGAAGAAGAACAAATATTATACTTTTTCGGGATTCTATCTATTTGCAAATTTTCTCCTTTCCTAATTAGTCTGAGTCTTCTTCTTTTCTCTTCTTCTTCTTCTCCGAATTTTCAGAAAAAAAAGAAGAAGAACCCCTACTGTACAATTTCCGGTAATCTGATATTTCTATTTTTACCCAAAACATCTGTTACAAAAAGATAAAGAAGAAGAAGAGATAGGAAATCCTTATCAATCAAAGATAAAAAGAAAATTTGGGAAAGAACGGAATGGTGATTCCTATTAGTCACTATTCCTTCTTCTTCTTCTTCATTTTTTAGTTGGTCGAATTAGACAAAATTGGTCTTTTCTGCGTCCAAATTCCTATAACAAAGATCCAAGTTTCGAAATTTTTCTACTTTTCCATTACCCAGAATATTATTAAAAAGAAGAAAAACTTAAAAATAGAAATAATTCAGCTCGTCTTCTTTTTTTTTCATCTCTTCTTTTTCTTCTTCTTTTCCATAACCCAGACCGATTCGGAGAAGAAAAATAAATAGTAATTCTAAAAAAAAGAAGAGAAAGAGTTTTGAAAAATTCTGAAATGTTGAATTTCCTTCTTTTGAAATTATTTGTTTCTTCTTCTTCTTTTTTTCTTCTCCTTATCCCAAAAATTAAAATTTTTATAAATAGATTTTTCACCCCTAAAAGTAGAAAAACTATCTTTTGGTATGTCTATTTTTCATATTTTCCAACTTTTTCTTTTTTTTTTCTTCTTCTTCTTCTTATTGGAAAAAAAATTTGAAAATCGATTTTTCATCCTCAAAAGAAGAAAAACCATCTTTTGGTATGTCTATTTTTTGAGTTTTCAATCTATAAAAATTATTTTTCTTCTTCTTCTTCTTCTTCTTCTTCTTCCCCGCATCCCAAAAAAAGACAATTTTTGGAAATAATTTTTTAACCTCAAAAGAAGAAAAACCATGTTCTGGTACGTCTATTTTAAACATTTTTGAAGTGTATGAATCCTTTTCCTTCTTTTTCTTCTTCTTCTTAGTTTCACCAAAAAAGTGAAAACTTACAAAAATTAATTTTTAACTTTAAAAGAAGAAAAACCATGTTCTGGTACGTCTACTTTTCAATTTCTTTACAAAAAATCTCAACTTTCTAGTTTGAACTTTGTTCTTCTTCCTCACCTTCTTCTTCTCCTTCTTCTTCTCCTTATCCCCAATAGAGCGTATTTTCAAAAACTATCCTCGTAGATGGATCCCTCCTATCGAGGGACCCATCTATCACTTCCTAAAAACGCATTCTTCTTTTTCTTCCTCTTCTCCATATTTAACCGAAAAATGCCCAAATTCTTCTGGGGGTTACATTGTTTTTGGCTCCGCCCCCTATTCCCATCTTCTTTTCATTCTCTAAATCTCTTTTTTCTCCATATTTTTGACCCTTTTCTTCTTCGTCTTTCCCATATTTTCCCCCTTCTTTTTGTTTCTCCGGAAAAGAAGAAGATGAGCCTTCGCTTCCCTTTTTTTCACGATTTTTCAGACACCAGGGTCCCCTTTTTTCTAGAGAGAAGGGTCACTTTGAAATGTATATTTTTCAAGGAACAAAGACATTTTTTTGAAGGAATTCATGGAATTTTTGTAGTTTCATAAGGTTACTGTAGGTTTTATGACTTTTGAGGATCTAAAATTCCGAAAAGCCGAAATTCTAAGATTTTTTTTAAGGTGTCCAACTTATAGGACTCTGAATTTAGAATTCTACGAAGATCTTTTTTTTTCTGCAAAATCTCTAAATTGAAAAAAAAACACTTTTCTCATTTTGCGCCTATTTTGAAAACTTGGAAGCTTTTTTCTGTTTGCTTAACGAGAATTCTTCGAATCGTAGATTCGAAATGGCAGAAATCCTTGATTTCCGGATTCTGAGATTCACAATTCCAGAATCTATAGATTTCCTAAAATTCTGAAATTCTGAATTTCTGAATTTCTGAATTTCTGAATTTCTGAATTTCTGAATTTCTGAATTTCTGAATTTCTGAATTTCTGAATTTCTGAATTTCTGAATTTCTGAATTTCTGAATTTCTGAATTTCTGAATTTCTGAATTTCTGAATTTCTGAATTTCTGAATTTCTGAATTTCTGAATTTCTGAATTTCTGAATTTCTGAATTTCTGAATTTCTGAATTTCTGAATTTCTGAATTTCTGAATTTCTGAATTTCTGAATTTCTGAATTTCTGAATTTCTGAATTTCTGAATTTCTGAATTTCTAAAATCCTAAAATTCTGAGTTTCTGAGATTCTGAAATTCAGAATTTCGAGAATTCCAAGTTTCTAATATTGGGAAATTCTGATATTCCGAAATTTTTAAACTCTAAATTCAATTCCAAAATTCTAAAATTAATTAATTTTTGCTTTTCTCTTTTTTTCTGCGTCATTCAGAAAATGAGCTAGACTTCTTCTTGATTTTTCATAGTTTCATTTTGATATTCTAAAATTCTAAAATTCTAAAATTCCAACTTTTCTTTTTCTTTTCTCTCTCCATTTTCTCATGATATCTCTTAATTACCCTCCTAATTACCCCTAACAATGGTTTTTCCCTCCAGAATCTCTATAAAATGCCACTAAAACGTCGATTACCACGATCCGTATCGGCGCCAGTTTTCGAAAAAACGTCCAGGAGAAATGTTATTGATATTCTTACAATCAAATTGAGAGATTTCTTGCCGTTTAGTAGTAAGTTTACAATTTGCGAAAAAAAAATCTAAAAATCGGTCCAGAAACTTTTATAATCAAGTGAAAATGAGCAGAGTTATGGAGCCAGAAAGTATGAAAATTGGGGAAAAATGAATCTAAAAGTTTGGTAAAAATGGTGAAAAACCGATATCAAATTGGGAAAAAATACTCTTTAAATCTGGCTGAAAAATTGAAAATCGAAACATTTCCAATTTTTTGACTTCTAGGTCATCGATTTTTGGTTTCCCAGACCATCGATTTAGGATTCCCACTCCAAAATTCAAAAATTCAAAAATCAAAAATTCAAAAATTAAAAAAAATCAAAAATTCAGGAATTCAGAAATTCAGGAATTCAGAAATTCAGAAATTCAGAAATTCAGAAATTCAGAAATTCAGAAATTCAGAAATTCAGGAATTCAGAATTTCAGAAATTCAGGAATTCAGAATTTCAGAAATTCAGGAATTCAGAATTTCAGAAATTCAGGAATTCAGAAATTCAGAAATTCAGGAATTCAGAAATTCAGGAATTCAGAAATTCAGGAATTCAGAAATTCAGGAATTCAGAAATTCAGAAATTCAGAAATTCAGAAATTCAGAAATTCAGGAATTCAGAAATTCAGAAATTCAGAAATTCAGGAATTCAGAAATTCAGAAATTCAGAAATTCAGGAATTCAGAATTTCAGAAATTCAGGAATTCAGAATTTCAGAAATTCAGGAATTCAGAATTTCAGAAATTCAGGAATTCAGAAATTCAGAAATTCAGAAATTCAGGAATTCAGAAATTCAGAAATTCAGAAATTCAGAAATTCAGAAACTAGGCCACTCATTTTTGGATTCCAAAGCCACCGATTTTTCGGATCCTAGTCCAAAAATAACTCAAAAAATTATGTATTGGTCATTCTTTTTTGGTAAGGACAAAAAAAATGTCATGGTTGAGTGGGTTTTCCCGATTTTTGAACATTAGAACTTTTTTTGATAACCTAGAACCCGACAACTAGTGGGGATTCTCGGCCAGCAGTTCTAAATAAGATGGGCTACAAAACAGTGACTAAGGATCCGATGAGATTCTAGGCCAGCTGAGAAAGTGATGGCCTATGAAGCGACAAAACTAGGTCATCTTCTCTTCAGACCCCGGTCGCCTAGAAATCCCATAGCCTAGAATCCGACGCAGTAATTATTTTTAGGCCATCCTCTTCCTTCCCAGCCGCCTGTTTCGTTTATTTTTGATCCTTTCCCTTCGAAGACAAGAAAAAACATAAATACTGTCCGTCTTCTTCTTCTTTTCCAGAAGGCAAAAAGAAGGAGAAGAAGAATCAAAGGATTAGGAGAAGAAGAAAAAAAACGATTCACTTTTCTTGTTCAAAAATGAGCGAGGGAGGGTTTTCGATTTTTTTTTCTAGGGAAAATGAGAAAATTGGAATCTTTAAGTGTTGGAGGTTTAGAAGAAGGATTTCTACTATTTTCTTTTTTTATTCCAAAAAATGTTTTCTGGGATTTTAGGGTATCATTCCTTAGGATCCTAGGCCATAGATTTTCGGGATTCTAGGCCATCATTTTTCAGGTTTCCAGGCCATCAATTTTGTTGGTTCTATGCCATCAAGTTTTGGATTCCTAGGCCACCACTCTGTAGGGTTCAAGGTCATCATTCCTTGGGATCCTACACAACTTCTTGGAATTCTAAGCCATCAATTTTTGTATTCCTAGTCCATCTTCTATTTGGGATCTTAGGCCATAGCTTTTCGGGATTCTTGGCCATCAATTTTTTTTGGTGGCCTAGGATCCGACAGCTAGGCCATAATTCGAGTCCCTTGAATCTAGAATTTCTATTTTTTTTTTCTCTGAAAAAGTCTTTTTTCCACCCCCGACCAAAAAAATTTTCTCATTTTTGGGGTCCCAGAAATCAGTGGTTGCCCTTTTTAATTCAATTTACTTTAGTTTAGCTTCAATGTTCTTTTTTCCTTAATCTCTCTCTCTCTCTTTCTCTCTCTCTCTCTCTCTCTCTCTCTCTCTCTCTCTCTCCTATTTAATTAAGGCCTCTGGTGCTCTTCAGCACAAAAAAGAGCAATTTTCTTTTTTTTGGAGAAAAGCAGCAGCAGCTCCTCACGAAATGAGCACAAATGCACCGATCCATGAAAAGTGAAAGAGAGAGAGAGAGAGAGAGAGAGAGAGAAAGAGAGAAAAGATAAATGACGTGATCTAGTGTAAAGACAAAAAAAAAGAATTTTTCGGAGTGCTCGGGGGCTCTTTTTGGAGAATGAGAGAAATAAAGGGGTCCCATGGGAACCATGGGTCACAACGTGACTTTTTACTCCAAAAGATGGGTTGACAATGGCGGAAAAAAAGGGTGACCTAGAAAAACAAGAGCCGAGATTTCTAGGTCATCAAAAAACTGGGAAGGCTAAGCTTTGAATTGATGATCAAGAATCCAGAAGTTGGTGACCTAGAAATCCATAAAACAGGTGATCTGGGAAACCGAAAATCGATGGACTAGGAATCCAGAAGTTGGTTGCCTAGAAGTCCAAAAATGCCTATCTGTCGGATCCTAGGCCATGGGAAAAAAGGAAACATCGTTCAGGAAATTTAGGTCACAATTAAATTCTAGTCTAAGGCTCTGGCCTAAAAACCCAAACATTGTGAGATCCTAGGCCACCATCCTTCTGACTGGTGGTCGGAACATTTTTTGTTTTTTTTTTAAAGATTTTTTTCTGAAAATGACAGTTTCCGTGTTTTGCGTTCCCCTCTAAATAATTGATTTCGTTCTTCTTTTTTCCCATTCATATAAAAAAAATAATTCGTTTTTTCCCAATTTTTTCTGGTCGCTTAATCAAATTCTTCGGTCCTTCTGATCCTCTTTTTTCAGACATTTTCAGTCAATCTCCTCCAGATTAGTCTGGAAAAAAGTGGGTCTTATGAGTCAGATTTTGACCAAAAGTCGAATTTTTTTTCAACAAAAAGTCGAACGTGGGAAAAGAAGGTGTCCTTGGATACGACATCAAAAAATCCCATAAAATCAATCTCTCATATTTAATGGACCCTTTTTACTTCTTCCTCTTCTTTTTCTTCTTCTTCTCCAAATTTTGGAATTCCCAGATTTTATATTCTTTGCCCTCCATCAAAAATTCAAGTCCCCCTGGATTCTGAATACCGAAAAAAATAAAAAAATTCTTCTTCTTCTTCTTTTTATTGAATGACGTGAATTTGTATTTTTCGGAGAAGGATGAATAAGGAGAAGGAGAAGACTGACTTTGATCTGAAAATTGCTGAGTAAGAGAAGGAAAAGAAGAAGAATTCCTTTGTTTCCTTTTTTTAGATTTAATGACAAGGAATCAGAAATTCGGGAGAAGAAAAAGAAGAAGAAAAAGGAAAAAGAAGAAGAACTTTTCAGATTTGCAAGTTTCTGGAAACTTTAGTCCCAAAAGTTCTGGTCTTCTTTTTCTTCCTTGTTCTTCTTTTTTCTTCTTCTTCTTCAGATTTTGGTCTTCTCCAGATTTTGATTTTTTTTCTGGAAAATCAATTTTTAGCTTTTCCAGATCAAGGTTTTCTTCTTTTCCTTCTTTTTTTTCTTTTTTCTTTTTCTTCTTTTTTCTTCTTCTTCTCCAAATTTCAGTCTTCTCCAGATTTTAGGTATTTTTTCGAAAATCACTTTTTTAGCTTTTCCAGATCTGGGTTTTTCTTTTTTTTCGTTTTTCCAAATTTTAGTCTTTTTGGACTTTTCAGTCTTCTTCTCTGATTTTTGGTCTACTTCTTCGTCTTCTTCTGATTTGATCTTCTTCCACTTTTCCTTAGCAGACTCTTAAATTCCAGACAGGGCTCTGACGATGGTACCTGTCTGAAATTTAAGATTTCCAAAAATCTGACTCATGCTCTTTTTCTTCTTCTTCTTTTTCCCCCAATCCAATCTCCTATTCATACAAAACTTTGTCTGGAACAACAGGGAAAATTTTAAATTCACACGGGTTACCTAGTTCCGGATAACAAGGACAATATTTTCTTCTTCTTTTTTGTTTTTTGGAAAATCTGGAGAAGAAGAAGAAAAAGAAAACGAAGAGGAAGGTGTGGTATTATATAAAAGTTATCGGAGAGCTTATAACACCATAAACCCCGCCCCGTCTTTTTTCGAGGTCTTCTTCTTCTTCTTCTTCTTCTTCTCTCCGCCTCATCTCCTTTTTTTTCCATATGTGAAGCCGTAGAACTGACGACGTCGTATTCAGAAGAAGAAGAAGAAGAGAGTCGATTCAATTCATCTCGATTTCCATTCGTCCCTTCTTCTTTTTTTGTGACGACGACGACGACCCTGTTTATTTAGTCTTCTTCCCCTTCTTCTTCTCCATATTTTGACATTTTCTGGAGAAGACGAAAAAAGAAATTTTTTCGTTTTCCTAGTCCTACTTTGTCTGAAAATTTTGAATCTTAAAGTTTTTTTCTCTAGAAATTCCAGTAAAGTTGTGAAAAATGAGGTCACCAAGAAAGTTGCTCAAGCAGTTGTCCATCTCGAGAGGTAAGAAGCGATCTGAAGGCGCGCCAGCCATAATTCGATGCCGGAAATGAACTTTTCTTTTTTTATGAGGTTCTTAAAATTGGAAAACTTTCCTTTGAATTCTAAAAAAATTTCGAAAAAAATTTTTTTTCGAAAAATTTTTTTTTTCGGGAACAAAAGTTTTGCACGTCTTCTGGATTTACTATTCTGAAGTTTTCGGAATTACGGTATCACCTTAAATTGTATTTTCTTGTTTTTCACATAAAACAAGTCTTCTTCTTCTTCTTCCTAGAATTCTTTACTAATACAATTAGGGGATAAGCGAGCGAATGAGAGGAATAACAATAATATGGGACCGCCATATATGGCTAACTACGTTTTCAGCTACATTTTCAGCTTTTTAGGCAAAAAAGTTGAGATTCCAAAAAACATTTTTTTTTTCGACTTCCAAAATTTTTGGAAGTCCAAAAAAAATTTTTTTTAAGAAACACGAAATTTTCCCTTTTTACGAAGTTTGAGATTTTTTGGTTGAACGGAAACTAGGCGATCCTAGACAAGACAAGAAATTGGATACTTTTGGATGTCCAGAAAAATTTTTTGCAGTTCTACAGTAATCCCTAGATGTTCGATCTCCGATCTAGGAGCAAGTGTGCTCCGTGAGATTTGCCAAAAAAATTTTTTCAATGTTGTTGAGGAACGCCACGACGTCGTGGGAAGGACTTCTAGAATTTCAGAAGCTCAGAGAACACACCTAGGCCATTTCTAGGTCATTTTACCATAGTGGCCTAGAAAACCAAACTTGCAAAAGTTCGACCACCCCTAATTTTCTCTAATTTTCAGGAGAACGTCGTCGTCGGTCTAACGAGAATCAGGCTGGCTCAACGCCACCAGCATCCGCCAACAACATCTCACCAAATCAGATGCCAGCGTCGCCACGTCTCAGGTAAGGCCGTGGCCGAACTGTTGGTGGTGGCCGAGGATCCGACAAACCTCGACCATCAGCTTTTTATAGGTTGTGTAGCCGTCAAAAAAATGAATTGATTTCGTTTTGAAATTGAATTTCCTGTCTACTGTATACTCCCAAAGGGGGCCGGACGAGCGATCTAATTTGCGCTTGTTGACCCCTAGAACCCAGTGGCCGAACTTTTGGGGGTTTCTAGGCCATCCGGAATTGTTCAATTGTGGGTTTCTTGGCCACTAGAAATCACCTGACATGCCCCTGATGTATTTTCTGGGTCATTTCTAAGTGGCGGCCTGAAAAACCCAACTGGTGAAAGTTAGGCCACCATGGTAAAATGACTTAGAAATAGCCTGACATGCCCCTGGTGAGATTTCTAGGTCATTTTGAAATGGTGGCCTAACTTGTGCAAGTTGAGTTTTCTAGGCCATGTATTTTTTTTTCCAGCCCGAACGAATGGCAATTCGCATTCGATCACGTCATCTACGATGTCGACGGACGTGCGCAGTTCACCAAATTCTTGCAGTCCGAGTACTCGGAGGAGAACATCTTGTTCTGGTAAGTGCGCTCCATTGATAACAACTTGTCAAGCGCGCTCTATTGAACTCAGACCTGTAGAGCACACTTGCTAGGCTGCCACACTCGAATCTCTTCAGAAATTCAGAAATTTGGAAATTCAGAAATTCAGAAATTCAGAAATTCAGAAATTCAGAAATTCAAAAATTCAGAAATTCAAAAATTCAGAAATTCAGAAATTCAGAAATTCGGAAATTCAGAAATTCAGAAATTCAGAAATTCGGAAATTCAGAAATTCAGAAATTCAGAAATTCAGAAATTCAGAAATTCAAAAATTCAGAAATTCAGAAATTCAGAAATTCGGAAATTCAGAAATTCAGAAATTCAGAAATTCAGAAATTCCGAAATGCAGAAATTCCGAAATGCAGAAATTTTAGAACATCTGTAGTAGATCGCATTCGACTAGAAAGCTCAAAAGCTTGCCAAGTGCGCTCTACTGGACGTGCTGGCATAAGGCTACCAAGTTCTCAGCTTCAGCTAGTCAAGTGCGCTCTACTGGACTATGTTGACTTCTAACTGTAGAGCGCATTTGTTGGTATAGATCTACTAAGCGCGCTCCACCGACCAGTTCTCAATAGAGCGAACTTTCTAGGTGGGCTGTCGAGGAGCTGAAGGCCGTCGGAATCTCCGAGGGACGTGCCAAGTTCGAGTCGACGGTCCAAGAGATGTACGACACATTTATCGCTGCCGAGTCCCCGTTGGCCATCAATATCGACCATGATACACGGACCGATATCATTGGATTGTGAGTTTTTGGCTTTGTAGTTTGTAGCGTAGACTCTTTTTTCTTTTGAATAAAAAAAATTCTCTTTCATCTCTTTCAATAAAAAAGAGCAGATCAAAAGTCGTTTGCGTCAATAGAAGCCCCTCTTTGGGGCCCAAAAACCAAAAATTGGTTGGCGCGAAATTCAAAATTTCGGAATTTTGCAGAGTCGAAGGAAAGGATCCATCGACATTCCCGGAGAACATCTACGAGCGTGCTCAAGCTCACGTCTATCGTTTGATGGAAAAGGTGTGTTGCATACTTGTAATCCGGGCCTAATTCAAAGACATCGACGACGCAGAAGAAACGCCAAACGATTTCCAACAGAATCAAGTCCAAAAAGCCGATTGGCAAGGATTTCAAACCACTTGTGGAGCTTCGAAATGTGCTCTTCAGCGCGTATTTGGCACTGAAGGACCGGATTCCACAGATGGAAATGGAGAGAGAGGAGGTTGGAGAGGAGGATTTCGATGAGGCGGTTTATGAGTTCGCGCAGGAGACGTTCCAGAAGATTCGGGAGGTTTTTGAGCCATTTTGATCGGTGAAAGCCTCTTTTGCTCCAGAAATCCCGCAAAATCGCT